TCTTGATCTCCACCAAAGCCCTGAGACTGACTTACTGAACCTCTTGGGTTCAAACGAACCCAGGTTAAGAACTAAACTCAGATCAGGCATATTTTTATCTGATATTACTAATCTTTTTTAAAAGGAAAATGCATCTTATGGGGAATTTAATTAGTGTCGAGTGAAGTTTTAGGGAATGAAAATCATACACAGTAATTATTAAATCTTTTTGGACTGTCCTACACACACTTACACCCACACATATAGATGTGGGGGCGTAAATTGAAATTTCGCCCCGGGCGCAGGGAGGGGTCGCTACGCCTGTGGGAGGAGGAATGAATGAAGGTGGGAGGAGAAAAATATTGGGTCCTGCAAAATTCATAATAATTATAAAGATTTAGAAATCTAGAGTAGATCTAGACTGACTAGAATCTAGATGACATATTGTCATTACTAGACTACTACTACACCTAAATCTCTTTAACTGGAAGCCAACCAAAACTAGATGTAGATCTAAGCCTATGATCTCAATCTTGATTCTACACGGAGATGTAGAGAATCTAGGTATAAAATACTATTCGGCTATTCAATACTCTCAATAGCATTCATTTTTTAAAAATGTACTTACAGCTCCTGGTTTCTGTCTGAACAGCTATTTTCACATTTATTTTTACTTCTCTAGATCTAAACTTTTAGTTTCAAGATGAGCAATCAGATAAACTAATAATAGCAAGTGACTAGAATCTTGACAACCAGTAACTTGTAATGTAAGCCTAAGAACTTAAGAAGGCCTGACTTAAAAATCTAGATCTAGGCCTCTTTGGATGCTAGAAAACTAGAATCAAAAGAATAAAAGTTAAATAATCGCAGAACCATAATAAACAATAGAAATCAAGTAGGTAGATTCTAGGACCATAGCAACATATTTTTAACACTAATATAGATCTAGATAGCTAAAATCACTATATAGGCCTACAAAAATATGTAGGCTTAGGTTAGGCCTACTTTTTATATTTATGACAGTCCTTATCCTAATATTAAAAGCCCATGTGCGCACTTCTCTCTTTTTGTCCTCAACATTTTTGAGGCAATGTGATCAGTATGTTTAGCAATATACAGAGAACTTAAAGATACAGACTTTTGTTGAAAATAATATGGCGGTTGTTTTAAATGTATAAACTAAAAGGAAAATAAAAATAAAGGCATATTCGACTGTAGAAACATTTTAATTATGCAACCGGAAAAGTGTTTATTGTTGCGACAAAACGCAAAAAACAATGACGTCACATGTTTAAACTACGGAAAGTATACACAACTGATGGCATCATCTTCCAATTTTAGAATATGAAGAAATTAACTACTTCATTTAAATATGATTTAAAATTAAATCTATAGATATACTTATCAAGACATACACTATGAAATGTATACAATTTTCTCTGCCAAACATAATGCAAATTACTTTTAAAAAAAAAAAAACATAAATACCATTGAACAGCCGGATTTTTAACAGAATCATTTAATTCTCTTAATCAGGGTGTTTATTAAATAATAATATGGCGTTGTGTTGACTAATAATGTATGCAATTTGGCGTTTCTAAAGAATTTGGTAGCCTATGTTATTTTAAATGTGTCGGATTTCAAGCTATTTAATTATTTCTTTGCATTGTCACTATTATCGTTCAACGTGTAGTAAAGCACATTGCGTTTTGACCAATAACCATTTTACAAAATATTTTTCTCAAACAAGTATAACATTACAATATATATAGGCCTATAATACGTGTAACGGTACCGATTTCATAACTATACTAGATCTATCTATAGCCTACTACAACAATCATTTAAATCAGTTTAATAGGCCTAGGTCAGGGGTAGACAATCTGGGAGCCGCATGTGGCTCTTTGGATGTCAAGATGCAGATCTTCTGTACCATGCACAAATATTAATAACGAGCCGACCCGCTGCATATCATACGCCGCTATTTAGTTGTTTTATTTTCTACTTTTCAGTAATTCATAATTTGTGAATTCGACAGTACCAATGCTGCCACTGAAAATATTTGCTTTAAAACACTACCCCCCCCCCCCCGTGAATAGCAGCCTCCTCTTAGTTACCTCCTCTAAGTTTAAAATCGTTTCAAACTAAATTATCTGCCCATAATAGCCGTCAACAAACCCGGCTCTACAATTTGTAAACATTTAGAGTGAACCACAGCTCACCAGATCATGTGGGGGTGGGGTGGGGGTGGTAGTGATAGAGAGGGGACTGCAAAGGCGCGCTTGCAGCTTGTTTTCTAACGGCTCCCAGAAGAGAATTATATATATAGATTGTATAATTTCATCTTCAAAACTCATAAAAAATATTATACTGTAAAGAAATAGAACTTTAAATATGATAAAAAAACTCATCAGAGAACAGTGACAACAGTTGAGGTAGAAAGTATATAGACAGCTGACAGCCACTTGGGCACCAGGCCCAGTCCAACAGCCAACCTGTGGACAGCCCCATAGCAACAATTCCAATTTTGTAAAATAGTTAAATGGAGAATGTTACTTTATTCAGAATGCATTTCTCTATCTATACTGTGGGGTACGAGTTTACCCTGCGTTCAGTGGATGAAAGATATTGATAAGCCTGGTGAGAACAGAAGGACGCAAGTGACCAATACTGTAAGCAAACTAATACCTAACCCAGTTTGTCAGAGTTTGCTTAGTTGAGACCTCCTGCAGTGGGAGACACCTACTAGATCTAGATCTAATAAGCAGGTGATGTCCGCAAAGAAAGAAAAAAAAAAATAGGCCTAGATCTATTAGCTTTTAAAGTGGATTAGGTCCTAGGGCCTAGGAGGTTTACCCCTATGTTATATTTATAATTTATTTGATTACGAGATCTCAAATTTATTTGATTAGCCTACTAAATTAGCCTAATTAATAATTATTATGTTAGGCTGCAGGCATTTAGATCTACAAGATAGATCTAGATTCTAGATCTCTAACAGTAACTACTAACTAGAAAATAGACTAGATTCTAGATCTAGAATGTCTAAGTTTACGTAATTATTTGTAGTAGATTCTAGATCTAAATCTTGTAATATGTAGAAAAAGAATCTAGTCTAGCTAGAATCTACATCTAGATTCTAGAGCAGGGGTTCCCAACCCTGTGTCCGTGGGCGCCATGGCGCCCGCTGAACAATTCGTATGTGCCCGCCTCTCACTATTCGACAGACAGAATTTTTTTTAATAAACATTATTTTAAAATATGATTTATTTTTATTCATTTGTTATAATTTTAATTTTTTTGTTTACTCCCTAGGTTTGTTAAATATGTTCGATACTTGCCCCAACTTGTCTAGCAGCGAGCCAGACTGCACTATAGGCCTAATCACTATTTAGTAACTATTTACGTTTTGTAAATACATTTCTCTGTGTGTATACAATTTGAAAAAAATGTCAAATAATTTTATTATTTTGAAACATTTTTTGTTTATTATTTATTAATACATTTATGACTATAAGAAAATAAGAAAATAAATTATGGGAAAATGACAAGTTATGGAATGAGTTTGTTGATTTAAAATAGGTGGTGCCCGCCACCCTACCGATATCTTAGAATGTGCTCTTGAGTAAAAAAAGGTTGGGAACCCCTGCTCTAGACTCTCGAGTAGGCCCTAGATCTATAGTCTAGATCAGGGGTCTCCAAACTACGGCCCGCGGGCCAGATGCGGCCCGCGAGGTCCTCTCATCCGGCCCGCGTAGATCATTTTGTCCACGGAAAAAATGTTTGTTGGAGGTGGGTGAGGAACTTTGCCCAGAAAAATCAAAGACATACCTGGAAGAAATTGGCCCCCTAACTGAAATTTGGTAGGTAATGCGGCCCTCGGACTGAAAAGTTTGGAGACCCCTGGTCTAGATCAAGGGTCGGCAACCATTTGAGACGAAAGAGCCAAAAGTTACAATTTACAACATTACCGGGTTTTTAAAGAGCCACTAACATTTTTATGTCAATAGTATATGTGTTTAGTATATATATAATCCTAAACAAATATCATACTATATAGGCCCTATATATAGCCTATATATATATATATATATATATATATATATATATATATATATATATATATATATATATATATATAGGCCTATATATATAAAATTTAAAATAAATTATTAAATAGGCTTAAATAGCTTTGAATATATGAAATAATATTATAATATCATTTGAATTTGTGTTGACAGGATCTACTATGTAAGTAAGAGTACTTGCATTTGTTTTGAATAGCTCAAATCTCTCAGTGAAAACACCATTTTATTTTGTTTATATTAATGCTGAAGTGATTGAATAGAAGCATTGGTTTCAAAACGGGTTTTTTTTTTTTTCAGATTTTTCGTAATTAAGTAATTTACCGCTCATATTGTATTCAACAAAAAAAAAAAAAAAAAATTCGAAACAAACCACTTCTTCAAGCAAGACATAGGCTGGGTTTTCCTTTCAGTTTTACACTTAGCTGGTTTAGTTTCTTTGATAAGTTGAATATTTCAATTCAGAATGGACAATAATATAAAGTAGTACACTGAGATAGGGAGTTAACTAACTATACTATAGGTACTGATAGACTAGAGTCTAGCTAGAGTGATAGAATATGAATGTTTATTGTTTAGGCCTAGACTCTATATAGAATCTATAATTAAATTTATAACTATTAGTATTGTTATGTCGTTTATTACAGAGTGTTGCAGACTAATATTGTTATGAGTTTTGGAAATAAAATAATTATTAATATTTGTGCATGGAGATGAAGAGCCACAACTTGACATCAAAAGAGCCACAACTTGACATCAAAAGAGCCGCATGCGGCTTGTGAGCCGCAGGTTGCCCACCCCTGGTCTAGATCTAGATCTAGAATCTCTAGATTCTAGAAAAATCTAGATCTAGATGATCTATACACTTATAGATCTACATACATTACAGATCTAGATCTACATTCTAGGCCTACAGCATCATGCACTAAAAATTACCTCCAGAACACTTAAGGAATATTCAGTGGTTTGGAAATCTTCACATTTTTGAAACCATTTTGAATTATCCATCTCCATTGTAAATCTGCTGTAGTCCGTCCTTTTTATTAAACTAATAGATCTACGAGTGCTGTTTTCAAATGAACACTACCGAATACAACTGCAATGCAAGTCATAAAGTATACATTCTAGATCTAGACTAGATCTAGTAGCAACAATATATATTAATGTTCAATGTGTTTTGTCTTCCTAAAATAAACCAAGTAAAACGAAGCCACACTTCCCCGTCAAAGATAGAGCAAGTGAGTGAATGAATTCATGGCACACCGTACATTTAACCTATTTACTGGCTAGCGGTTGACCTATATTACAGATAGTTGGAAAGAGGGAGGGGGAGAGGGCATAGCACGCAGCTGAAAAGGCTTTTTTTCCCCTTTTGTATTTGACTGTCAGTCTTTGCATCTGGTATTTAGCTTTTTAGTCTATTTTTTTAAAAATGTGTTATTGTAAGAGTTTTTAAAAAATCGCAAATCCATAGCTTTGTTTTTTATCTTTTATTTTAGTTCACAATGTCTGTTTGATAGTGCGTGTGTAAGAATATAAAATCGAAAATTAAATATTATTTTGTAGGCTTATAGATTATAGAACATCAATCTATTAGATGTAGGCCTACAAGATTGACCGTAGGATTGCAAACCAATGTCTAGTTATTCGTCATCAGAGCTTTTTTTTCAGGATCTGTTCGAGAGGACACCGCCCCCCCCCCCCCCCCGAAGGAAATTGAATTTATACAAGAAAGATAGCCTAGTCTATACTAAGTATACTTGAACCCGTGCCCCCCCCCAAGGTTCAAGTACCCCCCCCCCCACACACACACGAAGGGGGAGCAGAGGCGTAGCGAAGGGGGGCAGGGGGGTACATATGTCCCCGGGCGCCGACCTTAGGGGGCCCAAAATGGGTTGGAAAAACAAAATAAAATTTTATTTTAGCTGCATTTTTGCTTTATAAATATAAAAAAATATATGGGGGGGGGGGGGTGATAATCGAAAGTTTGAGGGGGGGGGGGGGGTGAAAATTGAAAGGTTGATCCTGAGGGGGAGGGCACAGTGTGTAGGACCTAAACCATAATCAAGTGGGAAATATGGTGTATAGGCCCCCACTATATTTCTATTTGATTTGCCATCTGCATTGCGTACTTTTTCATGGTAGATTAACTCAGTGCATTTGAATGCAGTTAAATCAGAATCGTCTTATGATTTTAACTCAATCTCTTCGTTTTTAAAAGTAGATCTATACGGTAAGATCACATTGACCAGTCATTCCAATTTTCCATGAATAAAGTCTTCGGAGAAATAGATTTATTTGACACTAGGTCTGTTAACGGCTGATTTTCTTTTTTTTTTTTTAATTGCTTAACTTGGCTCTTTTCCAATAGCACTGCTTCGTTGAACGTACTTCTGCGCCGTTCTGAATCTATTAATAGCTTTTGCCTCATTTTGAAACTTACCGCAATGTTCAATACTAGAATCTAGATTTCTAGATGTTTTTCATTCAAATAGCCCATTAGAATTTGAAACTATGAGATTTTTTAAAATTCAAATTGATAGGCATTTATTATACTACCCTAATCGTTTTCTTTTTAAAATAATATAAACCCGATCCTAAAGAACGTGAGTTATTTAATGTAGGGCCTAGTCTACATCACAACAAAGGTCTAGATCTAGATGTTATATCAACAGAGAATCCAGATATAGAATCTAGATAGATCAATAGACTTCAGATCTATATTTTGCATAAACTACCCTAACACTTTTTCTTTCTACGACTTTAGACAGCTTTTGGAAAGTATTATACGTACATTTTATAAAGTTCAATCGTGTTGTTACTAACAATGTTAGTAGATCGATGTTGGAATAGATAGAGATATATTTTAACATAGAAGTATTAACAACCAATGTATGCATCTGCTCGATTTCAGCATGTTGTACTAACTACATAAAACGAAACAATTAAAACGTGTGTGGTGGGCCTACTTAAGACTAGATGGCTTTAGATTAGAGCACAGAGGCCATAGCCATGGTGGGAGGGGGGTAAAGAAAGCATGTGTATGGGACTTTCGAGGGGGGGGGGGGAGGTTAAAGGTCACGCCGACTGATGCCGTACACTTCAGTTAGGCCTAGCCAAGCTTTGTGAAGCGTCAAGGACGATGTGACCGACCTAGTCTACTTGTGTACTGCGATGTTTCATTTCAGGCTAATGTTCCAGTCACATAAAGGCGAATAACGACAGGCGGGCTGAGTTTCTTCAGGCTTTTCTTAGTGAAGGGGGTTGTGAAGGTGGGGGGGGGGGGGGGGGGGGGGGGGAGCCAGATCATTTATTTTTTATATAGAAAATAAATACTTAATCCAGTGTCCGCCCGTGATTGATTTACGTACAGCCTGGTCGATCGTAGACTAATAGTAGTAGTTGCACTTCATTTTAGTGAGTCAGAGAAATTAAAAAATCAATCTGAATATCCATCTACAGTGCAGTGCTAACCACTATATGGGGTCATCCATTTATGACGCCCACAATGTTTTTGGATTTTGGACCCCCCCCCCCCCCACCAAAATCCACTTTTTTCCTTATAAAAGTCTATATGCGTCCACAAAAGTGAGTTTTTTCGGACCCCCCCCCCCCCCCCACCGCGTGTGGACGTCATAAATGGATGACCCCTATAGACTGAGCTATTGTGTACAGATCGTCCACATTCTTAAACAAAATATCATTCGTTCTCATTTTTCTTTAAACTGAAAAGGAGAAAAAATAATTAAATAGAATGTGCAGGGTGTTACACGATAAGAAGGCTATGGCGTACAGTTTCTTTCGGGCATCTCTTCGGGGGGGGGGGGGGGGGGGTGGGGCAGGGGCGGATTAACCTTGAGCGGGGCCCCCGGCTGAAAAACATTTGGGGCCCCATATGTTTATATATATATATATATATATATATATATATATATATATATATATATATATATATATATATATATATATATATATATATATATATATATATATATAATAAGCCGGCTGGTCGTGTGTCAGTCATTCCGTCATAAAATGTTCACTGGTATTAATTTGGCAAGAGAGTTAAAATACACTTGGTTTTGCAGCATGCAGCTGTCTTTGTATTTATCTTGGGACTGACTAAATATTGTAAATCTTTACAAACTTATGATAACAAAAAAAAACGAGTCAAAATCCATTCGAAAATGAAGAAGGAACTAAAGAAGCAGGATTTCAAGAAATATGTCAAGTTTATAAGATGTTTATGTGATCCGTCCACTTAACACATGCAGATCTGACAATGTAGGCTAGGCCTAGTCTAATGTAATTTACTCTCTGGTTGTGTTTTATAAGCGAGGTCGATCAAAAGCTATTTTTTTAGTCCAGTGTCACACGATTTATTATTTTAAGGACAGCTCTCTTTAATAAACATTGTCTTAAGGGAAGCGATGAAAGCACTGTACAACTTGTGCGTTTGTGTCTGTCTAAAGGACAAACGTATATTTTCATGGGAGAATAAGTTTCAAATATAGGCCTATGTGTTTGTACAAAAATAAAATTATGGTTTGAACGTTAAAACATTCATCGAGATAGTAAAAACAAAAATCGACAGGAAAATTGTGTGTATTATTGTTAAAATGTGAAACTTTGGGAGCCCCTAAAATTTTGGGACGAGCTTATAAGGCCTCACGGCTTCAATTTCGGTACTCTTGAGATAAACCTCACCATGTCCTTAGCGTCTAGATTCGGTTTTAAATATTGTTAATGTGGCACATCGTTACTATCCGACCTGTCGCTTCCAATAAACACAATCAAAGCACAATTCTTACCTTACAAAAACGTTGTGTTTTCGAACTGTGCAGACAGTCGGATCAGTAGGTTATACGATTTTCTATTTTATTGGTCCTAAAGGGTTAGCCTATCACTAGCTGGTCATTTCTTGTTAACAATTAGGCGTAGGCGGATTAGTCGTTCGTTTAGGGGGGGGGGGGGGGAGGCTGTTGAAGTTCTGTATGTAGGATATTTCTTTCTTTTCTGATTGCAGACTTGCCTTTGTTGCTCACTTTTGTAACGAAAAAAAAAAAAAACAACACAAAACATGAATGTGGTGCCCTTTACCCGAAAATTTTGCCGGATGCCTGGTGCGGTCTGAATCAACCACACCACCCGTGCTACATTATTGAGGAGGTGGAGCAGTGTTCCGTTTTTTTTGCTCACATACACACACACACACATGTGCGCACACACACCCTATCTCTCTCTTACATGCACACTACATTTGTACATTTCTTACCTCAGGTGTCTTTTCAAGTTTTTAGTCATCGCAAGAATCAGCAAAGATATTTATGAGTCTGCTGGATCAAATCTCTGTGTTCGATACATTGTTTCTTGGCAACTGGCTGGTTTAATCTCACGACCACAATTTATTTTAAAACACGAAAAAAAAAAGGCATCCCTGAATTCTTTCTTCCAAACAGCAACATAGGATCATTCGATGATTTCGATCACTGGAGCGTTCGTTAACCGAGTTTACGTCAACTTTTAGTGCTAGATACTAATTTTACGCCGTCTCTATCGAAACCTAAGTGCCTAAACCAACACCGTGAGTTTCAGAGTTTCTTTCAGAAATGTATCTACGGATTAGCACTTATTTTTTCAAAGATATCCCTGAAAGAAACTCTGGTGAGGTTAATTCGTATGTAGATCTATATGTGTTGAGGCGGGGCGCACTTAATTTTTTTTTTTGTGCGGCGTCAAAACGGCCTGAGATTAAAAGGTCCCGCCCTGAGTTTCTCCCAGGCATCTATATCGAAAAACGTCTAACGTCCCCCCCCACCCCCGAACGAAATAGAATTTATATAGAAAATATATATACTACTGTCCGCCCCCCCCCCCCCCGAAAATGTTAAAATACCCCCCCCCCCCCACCCCACCCCCCCCCCCCCCCCCGGAGAAGAAAGTCTGAAAGACACCACTGGTCTCGCCAAAAGAACCCCGACAAAAGGAACCCGTCATATAGGCTGCCGAAAAATAGGCCGCTGTCATATGGGCTCCCGTCAATAAGGTTCCTGATAAAATGGCTCCCGTCATCACTCCTCCCGACAAATATGCTCCCGACAAAAAAGAACATATTAATACGGTTTCTCAGAGACAATAAGTCTCCCAGCGAAACGGGCTCATTTATTATGAACCATACCAGTAGGAACCCTTCATCTTCAAAGTTAGCTTATCCAACACCCATGAATAATTCAACGCAT